AAGAAATTTGGTAATAACATACCATCATGTGTGAAATCAATTAATTATCAATGTTTTTTTATGAATGCAGCAATTTAATAGTCTTAACATACAATCAATTAAGACATCGATTGGTGATGGATGTTTTCAAAAATGGAGTTGTTTAACTAATATTAGCATACCACTGAGTGTGACATTAATTGAAAATTATTGTTTCTTTCAATGTATTAGTCTGACTAGTATTACAATACCATCGAGTGTGACATCAATAGGTGATTGGTGTTTCTGTGCATGCAGAAGTCCAAGCAATGTTACTATACCTTCAAATATCAAATCAATTGGTTATCAATGTTTCCCATCAAATATTCCAGTTAATAGATGTTAATAAAATGATTTGGTTGTTACATTTTGTTAGTTTATTTTTTTTCTACAATAAAAATAATAAAAAAAATTCAATTAAATAGATTCACAAATTTGATATTATCAGAATCGCATCGTGTGAGTAGTAAGAGGAGGCTATAATAATTGGCACCCTTTTTTACCTTTTTAGAACAGAGATTGCTCAAATGTAAAATTGTGTAAAATGAGTATATACCACGTCATCATTAATATTAATAACATGTTATTAATTCCATGATACATATGAGTGATATAAAGAAAAAGTACTAGTTTTTTATCATAAGATATAATAAATATATATTTGTAACATGCTATTACACTTTATGTTGAATAAATTATTAACACGTTGGAGTTTATATTATTTATTAAAAAATTACATTGAAACACAACATACTAAATTGCCGAACTATTAATACTATTTTTTGAAAAACAATTTTACTAAATAATCCCAAAAATTCAAAACAATAATGTATGTTCAGTTCTTTGATGAAAAAGACGTTGTTGATTATTAAAACTAAAAGTTCAAACGAAAAAACAGTTGTTGTTTTTTTAGTAAATTTTTAAATAATTTCGAATTAAGTAATATGTTTAACGTTAAATATTATGACGAAAATACTTCATTTAAGCGACAGTTGTCAAAATTGGTATATTAAAAATTGATAGACAAGCCATTCTCGCTTATCGTAAAAGTTTGTACATTTATTTATTCACAACACGTTATGAATTTGTGTGAATCAAATTGATGAAATATCAGTTTCGTTAAAAATCATTTTTGATTTAAAACAAAAATGTGGTTTTCTTCTCTGGACAATAATTAATGAAATATAGAGTTCCAAAAAACAATAAAAAATAATTTATAGCAAATGTTTGATAATTTTGACTTTTGATATTCAAGTTATTGTTGTGACAACACCATCAGTGTATCGATATTACGCGATACTTTAGCGCTTGTTATTTATTTAATTTGTTATAAATGAAGACTCGACTTTGAAAATTTTTGGCATTAAATTTATCAGCTTTTTATAATAAAAAGCACTTTTGGGATCAGTAGCGTGTTTTTCAGAAACAAAAATCCCGTTATATCATATTTTATATGGGAATTTTTATGCTTAAAAATTCTTCAAGTATAAAAATATTTTTTTAAATTATTTTTTCTTATTTACTTGGAAAATAAATTATGGTATTTTTAACTATAAACCGATTCCCTAAAAAACAAACAAAACAAGTGCAAAAATTTGGGACACTCCAGTACAGACTTTTTAAAACAATTAACTTTAAAAAAATAATTTAATACATAAATTATTTTTTAATAAATATTCAGTATGTTTTGTTTTGTTTTTTTGAGAATAGATATTATAATTCATAATGTCACTATTTTTTTCTTGAGCGAAACAGTCTTCCTTTACTTTTTATTTGATTTGCATCGTAGCAAATGATAAGTGTTGTAACTTTTTGTTAATTAATATAATAATGTTTTATAAAATTATAAATTTTTAAGACAAGAAATTAATAAAATATTTTATTTATTTTTTACTTAACAAGTAAAATGCATATTACTTTATTCCTGATATTTCATTTGTTTGTATTTGGTGCACATTAATAAAAGTTTAAATTTAATTATAAACGTCATATTGGTTACGAATATTAAAATATAGTAACTATAATTTGAAATAATACTAAATTTTTACACTAATTTTACAATCAACTTTTTATCAAAAAATCGACAATTATAAACTGGTTTTCAAAAGTCTGTACTGGGGTGTCCCGATTTTTTGCATTTATTTTGTTCATTATTTTTGGGAATCATTTTTTGTAATAAATTCGCTTATTTTTTCCAAGTAAAAAAGAGAAAAACAGTCTTCAAAAAATATTTTTTTACTTGAAAAATTATTAAGCATTAAAAAATTCCATTTAAAATTTGAAATAACTGGATTTTTGTTTCTGAAAAACACGCTACTGATCCCAAAAGTGCTTTTTATTATAAAAAGCTGATAAATTTAATGCCAAAAATTTTCAAAGTCGAGTCTTCATTTATAACAAATTAAATAAATAACAAGCGCTAAAGTATCGCGTAATATCGATACACTGATGGTGTTGTCACAACAATGACTGAAATATCAAAACACAAAATTATTAATTGTTTGCTCTTATTTATTTTTTTTGTTTAAACTCATTATTTCATTTTCTTTTGTCTATAGAAGAAAACCACATGTTTGTTTTTAATCAAAATGAAAAACTAACGAAACTGATATTTAGTTACAAATTGACACAAACAATAACATCCCAATTTATTAACGTGTTTATCGTTGTATGATTTGACCAACAACGTTGAGTTTGTGTTGTGAAGTATTGAGTTGTGATCATATAAATAATATGATCTTTTTTTGGAAAAGGCTGGCTAATATTCCGATAAATTCCCGATGTTGTACAAAAATAATTGAACTGGATTGGTATTTTTTTCAAAATTGAGTCTGTACTTTCAATTTTTTTATGTTTTTTAGGAAAAATAAAAAATAAAAAACGGGACTTTAGGAAGTTGTAAAAATACTGCGGTACAGACTTTTGAACTACAATTTAAATTGATTTTTAATTTGGTTATAATTATAATATATTGTGACAAATAAAAAAGACTTGAAAATGCCATTACTAAAACCAATTTTTGTCGGTTTGAAGAACTTAAGCAAAATACAACGTTTTTTATCATCACGACAATTACAAAAGTACAAACATAACATCACATGACACCATAATCGACATAATCAATTTAAAATAACAAATTTATGTTAAAGTATAAATAAATACAATACAGTCATGCGAAAAAGCTGTCGTGTTTGGAAAAACCTGTCTTGAAAAAATAGTTTATAGTAAATTTATAATTACTTACTATACAGTATAGCTTCTATTTGATTTATTTGCAGGGTCATTTCACAAAAATCGAATAAAAATATTCGGCATTTCCAAATAACATGTTCTATTTCAGATCATTTGTTTATAGTACTA